TTTTGTCATCATCAGGCTGACAAAACCTTGTCGAAACATCGTACATTTGCTGTTATGTTAAACTTATATTAAAGTTTTTCTTCATTACCCATTCAAGCCGTCTCCAGCCATTATTAAAAAAACAAGGGTGATTGTACCTAGCTTAATTAACTACAATTTGAATTAAATAACATAAAGATGTGAACTTTTTTTATTTTGTACAGGCTGAAAATAATAATGTCAAATTATACTTAATTGGCTAAAAAATTATACTGGTGAATAACAAACAATCTTTTAAAGATGTCTTTCTGAATTTTAAATTAAGATTTTGCAAGAATATAAGAGAGTAATATAAAAAAAACCTAGCCTCTTGCTCTTTCTCAAAAGTTGGCAAATTTCTGCTAAAGCCAGAAAAAAAATCAGTTTCAATATGAATTGTTGAGCCTGAACTGTACAATTTATTTGCATTTTTTAAAAAGAGCTAGTATTGTGAAAGCAGCCTTACTAAGCAGCCAATAGATTAAGCTTCATTTTTTTACACAATCTATCAAATTAACTTTTTGTTTTCAGAGCCCTAAGATTCAATGCATTATTGAAGTATGTTTATTACTGAGTAAAATGAAAAACAAATTCAGACAGGCAGAAGCAATCTTATTTATATTCTTTAAAGTTTAAGTTATAACTTTAATTCATAGGTGCACATCTGAAGGTGACACCATATAGATCTGTGATTTCCAAGCTGTGTCATAACACACCAGTGTTGTGGAAGTTGTTAGAGGTGTCACGAGTTTCACCGAATAAAGAAAATTAAGAACAAAAAAAAAAAAAAACTTGACAAAAAAATACTGCATGTGGAAGCAGGGGTGTCATGCAAATCCAGATAAGTCGGTTAAGGTGTCATCAGTGAAAAAAGTTTAGAAACCACTGATATAGATAGATTCATTTCTTAACAATCCTATTTTATAGTTATTGAGAAGCTACTGATCAGTTTTTTGGAAAAAGTTTATATTCAACATTAAATTAAAGCTCCAAATAGTAACTATATAGTCTTGCAGCAAGATCTATTATTTTGGACCTTATAACAAGACTATCATAAGGTATTGACAAATGTATTTTTGGTGTCTGAAATATAATTTTTCCCATTCAATAACAGGCACTGTTTTTTCATAAAATATAACAAAATATTACTAATTATCAACAGAAAAATCCAACAAAACAGAAACTTTAAAAGCTTTCAAACATGAGAAAATATGGATTACAAAAGTAGATGAATACTAAGTAAAAATAATTATACCCTAAAGACATCTAGGATATAGACCAGAAATATCATGGGTTATCAGATATTTTGAACTGAAGTTATACATAAAAAATACTTGTATTTACTGAGATATAAGATATATTCATAAAATAAACTAGTTAAATGTTCTAAACTCCACCTAGAAAATAAGTTATCAAACATTATTTTAAATTATGAAATTAAACAACACACACACTAGTAGCTATTTAAAATCAATAAGCTAATTTTTCAAAAAACAACTCAATATACAAGCATTCTGCTTCCACACTTTATAAACAATGAGCTGCTTTTAATACTAAGTGAGAGAGGGAGAGTTTACTTTACTGCTATTGTTTTTAGTTCTGTTGCTATAATTTTGTTCCAATTCTAATTGGTATAAAAAAACCAATAACACAAGAGTTTCCCCTCATGGTCGTTTTATTTTGTCCCAAAACTATAAAAGTATTAGATAAAATGCTACATAGACAGTGAATTAACAAAAGCATAAACTTTTTTAATGGCAACAACCTTGGACCAACTTACTTCACATCAGTGAAAGTTAACTGCAAACCTATTATTATTATATGGTCAAACCTTATAAATCACTGTAACTCAATCAGTACCAGTTATAAACAGCAAAAATCCAGAAATACTAGTATGAAGAATGATTTCCCTGACTGTAACTCAAATTCAATAAATCTTGACCAAACTACAACCTATAAACACAACTATGATTATGTACTTTCCTCTAAACAGTTGTCACAAGTAGCACAAATTTAGATGGGTTTAAAATCTGGAAACACATCTACTGAAGAACTGGTTGCTTTCACCATACTATTTTAATTTATATTTGTCTGGTTTATGTATAAAATTATATCAACCTATATTGTGTTCTTTTATGATATGCCAGTTGTGCCTACTGTTTAGTTTTTTTATATTGTACTCTAATAATTAATTTGTGGCATTAGCCAAGGTTATTCTGAGCTAGTTACAATTATCAATTACATCTCAGTTTTATAAAATTGCTGACATTCTTATTTGAGAAATTAATTTACTTCCAACATAAAATTTCCTCTTCTTATTCTAATTTTAAAAACGATTACGGACTGTTGTAATTCACAATATAAACCTTTTGCAGTAGTGTAAGAATAACATAACCATCTAAATGTATTTACAAGAATTAACATCTTCATTACTTTAACTCTCTTATGCACAAAATATATATTATAATCTAGTTATTAAAACACCCTAAGTTTTATCTTCCATTTATCATAATGTTAACAAACAATTTTTTACCTTTGTTAAGTACTTCAAATTACTGTCACTAAAGAAACCTTTCTTGAAAACTTGTTCTTATGTAACAAAATCTTAACTTCCAGAATACGATTTTAAATTTTATAATACATAAATAGAGATTGCATCAGAAGGAATCAGAAAAATATTTATCATATCTAAATTTATCCAAACAAACTAAACAGATATATTTGGGATAAAATATTTATGTAAGGAACTTGATTACATCATGCACATCACATCTGAAAACTTCATGGCATGAGAGGGTTTGTGAAATGGGCTGCAATTCTGCTTCTTGGACGTACGTGTAAGCTTTGTAAGCTTCGTGTTAGGTTTTCGTAGCTATTGGATGAACCCAAATTCCTTGGTAATGAAAATGGCTCTTGTGAAGTACTCCGTCTAGCACCAGTAACAGAAGAAAAGTTACGAGGAAGTGTGCTTGAGCGGTTGCAACTAAAAGTAGCAGCCATGAGATCCGATTTAGGAAAACTATTAACAGCTTCTTTCATACTAGAAAGTTCTGTTGACAAACTACAGACAGAAGAAAAATGCAAAGAATCTGACCATTCCTGAGAGATTCCTGATAAATCAACAAGGTGATGAAGGTTGTCTTGGGAAAATGATGACTTCTGAAGATGACAATCATCTTGTTCAAAACTTGAAGGATGGTCTGTTATCATCAATGGTCTATAAGAAGTTATATCTGTGTAAGATGACCTCACTGGAGATGCTTTACATATTCTCTGTGTGAAAGGTGAGCTTCTTGAACATATATTATTCATTCTCTCTGTATCACTTAAGCTTGTTGGAATTGAATTGAAGGTATCTTCTATGTGGAACGAACTTGCAAAAGATGCAGTACATGTTTGTTCCGTGAAAGTTAAGCTTGCTGATGTCAGATCAGATGTACTTTTCACTACAGGATTGTAGATTCTTTCTGTGAGAAGAGAGTCAGCTGGAGATGTAACACTACTTGGTGACAGAGACAAAATTTTATGCTGTTGTTCTTCCAAGCCTTGAATATCCATCACTGTACCTGAAAGATAAATACATTTATTGTGCCATCTTTCAAGTCATCTTGATTGTATCATAACAGTCATAACTACTTTACACTATACAGAAATAAAAATAATAATAATGAATATGACTAACAATCCTACAATTTGAACATAAATGTACAGCAGTCAAAAAACATTAATTAATACTCTGGATGGGAGTAGGTCAAAGTGTGTATGACATTACTTTTTACAGTGTTATATTCAAAACTTAAAGTACTTTATTATCAATCTGCACCAATGAAAACATACTTTTTATTCAAATTTTCATATTATCCAAGTTTTAATTCCTTACTTTCTAAAGGAAACAGTTCAATAAATTCTCAATCTTCACTTCTCTGTATCACATGACATTTCTTTATTCCAAATTGCCCATTTTAGATAATCTCTCCACCCCTACTTGAGATTCTGAGTTTTAATACAAATTGTACACTCATTGTATAGATATTACTAACACAGTCTAAACTTATAACCTCCAATCTTTTTGCTTTACTGAAATAAAAACCACAAAGTCAAACCCACGTGCCATAACCTCTTGTAACATCCTGTCTTTCAAAAAATGTCAGTAATTCTCTCATAGATTTGCTGTTCAATTATTTATAACCAATACAAAAAGAAAATTTCAATTTACTGAATTTCTTATAAAGTTAGCTCATTCTTATGACAGGTTTTGAATTATTATAGCTACATTTTCATTCTTTGCTATTGTCAATTAACTCTGACCAGCTAAAGCAATTATTTTAAACCACTTATAGCTTAATGAGAAAGACAATTAAATCATAATAGTTATAGGTTATTCTTTATTTGTGTATATTATTACTTTGTGTTCTAAACTGAATATTTCAAATAAATAATAATTCAGTAAAGTACTAACAACAACCAAACCAAAAATTAGGGTTAACTTTTATCTAGACCTTGAATGCAAAAAAGTACAAGACCCACACAAAAATACTAAATTTCATATTTTTTATGTATATTTTTTATTTATTGTCATAAAAGTAACTACAATGTAAAAATTAGAAACTTGTTAGATTGCATAAAAAAACAAAATGAAAAATTTCTTTGTGAGGAATTCCAGCAAGCTGCTCGTGTATACAACTCAATACTGTGTTTACCATAACTTCCATCATACTTTTGCTGAGTGATTTATTGCATTGTTACATTAGTTTGTATTAGTATTTAGAAACAGTTCAAAGAGCAATAAATGAACATTCCTTTTATAAACAATACAATCACAGCCAAGATTCGTAAAGCTGTTAAACAATCCCTACCGACAATCAACGTAATGCAAAATAGGTAAAATACTGAAATAACTGTTAGTTTACCCTTCATACTTGGAAACAAAATATGCCAAAAATCAATGCTACGCCAGAGAAAATGGGGCAGGACAAACATGCCACATCAAAAACGTAGTCTATCAAATCATATGTAACATATGTGGAGATGAATATATAGGAGAAACTGGAAGACCTTTTCACACACGCATCTCAGAACACATCAGTGCATTATATATGTATGACCAACACAAAACTGCGATAGCAGAACACTTCCTATACAAACAAGGAACCCCAAACACAGAAAACCATTTAAAATTCTTGTCTTACAAAAAATATATATTGAAGCTATACTCACTAGCAAAAAAAAGTCCAAAAATGAACAGAGGCAATGGATAGTATATGTGACTAAATCACCATTGAAAAAACAACACATCACACCAGTACACTTAACATTATTTGCATATTCTGGCATATCGCACAGTCTTACAATTTGTTTTTGGTATTGCTAGTAAAACTTTGTATCTTTTCAATTTTTGTTTCATAGTGGCTTCTATTTTCCATATGTTTGTAGCTAATGATAAAAGATTTTGTGATTCTCTTTATTTTAATATTTAATATAAGTAATATATGTCATGTTAGTATAGCTGTATAGGGTATTATAACTATATTATAATATTAGAACATTAAAGTTAAACAATAATAATATTCTATATATTGTCAGAGACACGTTACGGCAGACTTGAGAAACAGAACATCACAAGCAGTTTTAAAATTTAATAAATATTCTAATATCAAACAGTTTTATGCACTAGCCCTGAAGAAGCCGTAAAGGCAAAACATTGGTTAAAATAAAAGTTCTCTTTTAATTATCTTTAATAATCAGCATTGTTGAGCTATACTTGTCCCAGAGTAAGTTTATGCAGGATTCGATGACAAATAAAACTTTCCTTATAAGATGTCCTTGAATTAGTTGCACCTCAGAATTTATATCTGTTTTCATAAATAACTGGTGGGAGCCATGTAACCTAACAATAATGCTTCATGTGACACATATGTTCCATATGCAAATTTTAAAACCTAGTGTGTGCATGGAAAAAATTTCCAAAAATAGCAGAAAACATTACTTAAGTAATAGT